CTTTTAAGCAGTTCTTTGTCTCAGGAAGGAAAATCTAGGAAGTTCTGTTTTCCCTTCTGTGAGTGTCTATGGCAAGGGTTACTGAGTAGAAAAAACAAAGGTTTTGAAATCAGACAGAACCGGGTTGTAAAATGGACCCCCTCTCATTCTGACTCTGTGAGTATACATGTCATTTTATTCATTTTAGCTCCAATGTCTTGGACCCCCTCTCATTCTGACTCTGTGAGTATACATGTCATTTTATTCATTTTAGCTCCAATGTCTTGGCAAAATGCGGCAAACAGTACTTTCCTCCTAGAGTGTTTGGGAAGATGGAATATGGCCGCATATGTGCCTGGCATGTCCCAGCTCTGTAGGCCTTCACACATCTACTCTCATTTCTGTTTTTATCAAGGCCTCTGTGAGTTGTGAAGCGTGTGCCCTTTCTCCTCTGTCTCCATAACTGAAGCTGAGGTCCTTAACCATGTCCCATGTGGTACCCCATGACGTTCTGAGAAATTAGCTTGCTGCATCAGTCTTCATTTTCCGAAAACCTATAGTTTCATTTGGGGTTTTTCTAGAATCTTCACCAAGTATTTTTAATTTCATTGCCTGTATTGTCTACTTCTGAATTCCCCTGCTGCTTTAGTTAAGTAGAGATGCCTAACTAGTGATCACAAGGCAGGTGGCTTAAAACACCAGACAGTTATTGCCTCATAGCTCTGGAGGACAGAGTTCAAAGTCAAAGTGTAGGCAGAGTCACAACCTCTACAAGGTGCAGAGGGAGGATCCTTCTTTGTCTTTTCCACTTCTGGTAGCAGTGCCAGTCCTTGGTGTCCCTTGGTTTATAAATGTGTCACTCTTAGGCTGGGAATGTAGCTCAGCTGGTGGAGCGCCTGTCTAGCGCACCTGTCATTTAAACACTCAGGAAATGGAGGAAGAAAGATTAGAAGTCAAGGTCATCCTCAGCTACCTGTGGAGACAAGCCAATCTGAACTGCATAAGACCCTGTTTCCAATCAAACAAGTCCCTTCAAACTCTGTCCCTGTCCTTGAATAGATTGCTTCCTTTGTGTTTGTTTGTATTCAAATTTTCCTCTACTTATAAAGATAGCAGCTATTAGGTTAGGACCCATGTAATCTAAGGTGACCCCATTCTAATATGATTGCATCTGCCATGATCCAACCTTAAAATAAAAACACATTCACATATCCCAGAATGGTTAAGATTTTGTCTTGTTCTTTGGGTGGGCACAGTCACTCCCACAGTACTTGCCAGTTGACCCTAAATACTCAGTGTAGGTCTGGCTTCTGAATAGGTCATGTAAGTTTTTTTTTTGTTTTAAAAAAGCATTTTTCTTCTTTTTACCTTGAGTTAATAATGTTCTTTCACAAAAATATTTTCAGGAAACAGTTTATATTGACTTTATTATTTTTATAAAATGAAAAAAAGAGCCACATATAGGAAGAAAATATGTCTTACTGACTAGGAAAGTTACTTTAAAAATGTTCGGAGAAGCAAGAGTTAAAAGGGCAGTCACTGGATACAAGTTCTATTTACAAAGGTTTATGACTTGGGTGTGACTTGGCCATTCAGTCTTATGAGGCCCGCAGTGGCCTGAGCTGAGCCTGCTGGATTGGACCAGGCAGAACTCTACATGACCACTTAGGGTCCTGATCACAGCCTTTTAAATGCCAGAACAACTCTGGAGAACATGGATGTGGTCAGCTGCCTGTTCCTCCAGTGTGTGTGTGGGCCGCCCCTGCCAATGGCTGAAGCTCAGGTAGGTTCTTAGCATGGGTGCTTGCTGGTGTGTGTACATGCGTGCATGCGTACGTGCGTGTGTGTGTGTGTGTGTGTGTGTGTGTGTGTGTGTGTGTTTCTAAGAATGATGTCAGCAATCTGCAGTCCCCATAGTGAACCTGGACAGTATTTTAGAAGTTCGAAAGCTTTGCTTTAAAAAAAACCAACAGTTTAGAGCATGTATCAGGGCTCTAGGGGAGTGTAGCTCTGTGGGGGAACCTTTACCTAGCATGTGTAAGGGCCTGGGTTCCATCCTTAGCATCACTATTTGTATATATCAAAATTCACATTGGCTGATGGAAGGACTCTAGCTAATTTGGGGAGGTGTTTGGAGTCTCCCAAAAGACCTCATATTGGAGGCTTTCTTGCTCTCCATCTGCTTCTGAGTGACATAGGTGTTTCAATTTCAAGTGATGTTTAGTTAACCAGTTTTTGCTATCCCCAGGACATTTTGGTGCCTTTTAGAAGGTGGGCTCTCCTTTTATAGCTTTAGTGGAACAGTGTAAACACTACAGTCTGATTACCATTGGATTTCCTATGTGCTGCCTATGTTGAGACTGTAGGTGGCATAGGGGCATGACTGTGGGAGGAATACTGGCTTGGCAAGGGCCCCCTTTGGGCACACCCACCTTACCCAGCCCAGATTACATCCTGGATTGTTTCTTTATTTTGGGCATTGTAAGAAAAAACAAGCTGTGTGTGTTGCATAAGTGCATAAAACAAAACAAATTCCCCAGCCATAAAAATAAAAACATCTACACACACATTTGTGAGTAGTTGGACTATTCAGTGCCTGATTTTGTTCTAGACACTTCTGTTTTCCTAACAGGTTGTTTCTGACCCTTTTTTTAAATTTCAGGAACATAATATAAATGCACCTATTTTTACTGTGTACGTAAGGTGTCTGTGTCATTTGAGTTAGTAATTTATTTCAATCACACATAATAACCCGTGTTTCATATGTAATTCAGAAAATGATTATAACTGTTTATGGCTTCTTTTCCCATAGTTGTGTTAGGAAGGAGAGAAGCATATATCTCTATTTTTTTTCTGTGTATATGTATACATAAGTTCCCAGAAAAATATACCTTTGGTAGGTGGTAAGAATTTGAGGTTTCTGTTCTAGCTTGCTAGGGAAAGGAGACAGGGAGGAGTAAACTTGGGAGAAAACAACTATCTTTTAGGAATGCTGAAGGAGCCCTGAAAAAGAATAAATAAGATAGTTCTGTGACAGTAGCTATGTTTTTCCTACTGTCCTGTTTTGGGTGTAAAAAAATGGGTGAGGGGTAGCATTATGACCATTGAATTCTTTGGGGAGACTTTAGAGTCCAGGGTGAAAGGATGTTCTTAAATACCTTGGACTCAGTATTCTTAGATAGGATAATTTGCCCCTCCTCCATGCTGATGTGAATCAGGGCACCGAGAGCATGGCAGATAGGGATTGTGGGACACAATTTTGGAGATTACCTCTGAGTGTCTGTTGTTACTGACTGACTGTGTGGCCCTGAATGGACCACTACACTTTACTCTTCAGTATTTCTAATGTGAAAACTGAGGAGGTTAAATAGTGTATCTATAAACCCCTTCCTGTCTCTTTGGCCTTATGAAAAAGAGTCGTGGTTGATGAGCCATGCTTATTTATAGGGTTCAGTATATGGCTAGCTCCTAGCTTGCTGCTATGCCTGCTGTTCACTGCTCCTTCCAGTCTCTGGAATAGCCCTTTCTGCAGCCAGACTTTAAGGCTCTGCCAAGATAGACTGGTGCCTATCTCCAGGCGGGGCAAGCCATGGGGATGGCTACTCTGTGGCAGTCTTTGTAAAAGTGACAGCTGACTCCAACTGATAAGGCCTATCCAGCCAGGATTGCATTTCAACCTTGCACAGACTCGTCTTTCCTTCTGAGCAGCTGCAGAAATAAATCTGAGAGCCTCAATCACTTGTCTGAGGTTACTAGGGCAGCCCCTAGTTTAGATGGGGACTGACATAGAAGTCTGCCTGATTCCAAACCATTGCATTGCTTTTGAAAAAGTACATGAGACTGGGTATGGTGGTGTATAACTGTAATCTCAGCCCTGGGTTAGCCTGAGACAGGAGATTCTAGATAGAGTTCAAGGCTAACCATAGATACATAGTAAAATCCTTCTCCTCTTGCCCCCTGAAAAGATGAAAAATTATTTGAAGAATTAGAAGTGGGGTGAGCATCTAGCTTGGTGATAGAGTGCTTGCCTAGCATATATGAGGGCTTGGGTTCAGTCTCCAGGACTACCAGGGAGGAAAAAGCATCGCCTCATTTATAGCCATTTTTTGTTTGGAAATAGTCTCTCTATGTAGTGCAGGTTGGCCTTGAACTCACTGTCCTCTTGCTTCTGCCTCTTAAGTGCTAAGACTACAGGTGTGGATCACTATACTCAGCTGAGGGACATGGAATTCAAATTGAGAGATTTGTCCAGTCAGAGATCCAAGGTTAGCCCTGACCCACATAGCCTTTAATAGCCTGACAGATCTCTGAACCAGATTCATTGTCCCCTATCAGTCCACTGCCTAGGGACAGGATCCTCAAGTGTTGAGTGCCCACAGCCTGCATTTAATCTTCTTACCTTCTTACTGCACTGTCTAGTTCTCAGTAGCATCCACTGTTGAAAGACTTCAGGGCAGACCTGGATCTTGTTACATGCTCATTTCTCACACATTAACTTTTGCTGCTGGCTGCCTGTGGCTCCCTTTCTGCTGTTAAGCATGTTTGGGAAATACCTGCTTGGTTAAATATTCATTTTATTAACTCAGACCTGCTGGCATTCGTAATGTCTCTTATTGTAGCTTGTTCCCCAAATATCACTTAAGTTATAGATTTAATTCAGCCTGGGATAAAATTTGGGTCCCCTTCTTTTTTTTTTTTTTTGGTCCTTTTGAAGCATGGTCTCCCTGTAGCCCCAGCTGTCCTGGAACTCACCATGTAGACCTGGCTGGCCTTGAACTCACAGAGATACGCCTGCCTCTGCCTCCCAAGTGCTGGGACTACAGGCATGCACCACCACGCCCAGCAGATTTGGGTCTTTTAACCCACATATTAGTTGTGCCCTCACTCTCTGTGGCACAGATAACAGTTATTTTAGGCTAAGAGACTCCAGGGCTGCAGAATGGGAGGGAGGTGGCAGGTGCCTGGTCCCTATTAACAACAACCTGGATATTGGAGCTCACGTAGCCTGTTCATTTGCAAAGGTGGTGAATGAGGATGATTGGCAGCCGGGCTCAGCCCAGGAAGAAGAGCGGACTGAGGTGCCCCGTATCTCCAGTAGGAGATGGGGCTCAGGCAGGCACACCCGGCCACGACCACTATCGGACTATGGCCAGCTGGCCAGCAGAAGCCTGTCCATTCCTGAAGACTCCATTGTTGCGGACCCCCCAGATGAAGACCACGTAGACGGGGTGCAGTCAGCAAGTGTGACCACCGCCAGCCAGGACCCAGGCAACCCCTCGGACTGCCCCAGGGGAGGCCGGAGAAGGAGACCTATATCAGTGATCGGAGGAGTCAGCTTCTATGGCCACACCCAGGCAGAGGATGAGGACGAGGAGAATCTCTTGGCCCAAGTAAGAGCTGGTGTCTCCAACCATGACCAGCAGAGATTTCCTGCCTTTCTCCTCCCTTCTAACTAAACTGGACACTGCTTTTCCTCCTCCTGAAGGATCACACGCCTCCTCAGCCTTTTCCTTCTGACTTTTGAAACACGCCCGGATTCAAACTAACCACTGCCTTCTCATCACCTTCTCACTAATCTTTCCTCAGATAGCATACAGCACAGATTGGCCACCTGTCTGAACAGCCCAAGATCTGAACTGGGATGGGTAGCTGGCTGCATGTTGTGAGCTTCCTGAGGAAGTGTTTGTTGAAAGACAAAGCGGTTCACTGTTAGACTCTAAGGACAGGAACAAGAATTAAGATGAACTAGAAGGGGTTTGGGGATGTAGCTCAGTGATGAAGCATTTGCCTCATGTACACAAAGCCCTGGGTTCCATCCCCATAAAACAAAACAAAACAAAACAAAACGAAAGACCATGGGGGGATGACACCAACTTCTTTATCTCCTAAATACTGTATCTCTTCTTCCCTGCCCCTGGTTATCCACCACACCCTCACCCACCATTCCTGAAATGGTACCCAGGTCTAGAACATGCTAGGCAAGCGCTGGACCACTGAGCAATACCCACCATTCTTTATTCTAATTTTGAGTGGTGGCTTTGCTGCTGGTTTGGACATAAACCCCATTGGACTCTCAGCGTATTTGACAAGTATTTGTCAAGTGCCCAGTAAGCACTTCGAGGTTACAGAACATTTGAGAAAAGACCTATCCTGGAGAAAGTCCTATTTCTTTGCCTATTGCTCAACTAGTACCACAGCCATGGTCATATAGTCTCAGAGCAATTTATGAGTATTTTACATGCTCAATTTCATTTTGAAAACCTGCTAGGTACTTTCTTGAATTACCTGTAAAACTCTCTGAAAAGAGAACTTCTCTATTAGGCTTGGATTGTGTGTTAACATTTTTCTTGCCAAGCCTAGCACAGTGTCTTACTTATAGAAAGCACTTAAAAACTCTGGCTTAATTCAACTGAGCTGAATTCTTAAAGTAAAATTAAAAGCCAGGTGTGGTGGCAAACACCTGTAATTCAAGCCCTTGGAAGGTAAAGGGGAGGATAAGTGAGCAATTCAAGGTCATCCTCAGCTATGTGGAGTTTGAGACCAGCCTGGTCTATGAAACATTGCCTCAAAACATAACAATAGCAACAACAAAATATTAAGTTGAGAAATACAAGATCTTTAAGATCTTTTTCTTTTAAGCTGTGCTACTTGTTGGAGAATAATTCTAAATGAAAGCAAATTGTAATATAGTTTAATCCAAGATGTAGTCTAGGGACAATATAAGGTACTTAGAACATATTTCATTTCTAAACATCAAAACAGTGTTGTGCCCAGGCCTGGTAGTAATTCCAGCACTCAAGAGGCTGAAGCAGGAGAATTGTGAGTCCAAGGTCAACCTGGGCTACAACAAAGCAAGGCTCTGTCTTAAAAAAAAAAAAAAAACAAAAAAAAAAACAGAAAAAACAACACTTGGAGGCCTGAGCTGTCTGACTGTGGCCCAGTCTCTCCTTCCTCAAGGTCTACTCTTGGCCAGGTATCTTCCTAACTCTGAGCTGGCAGCTATGGGAACCCTCTGCTCTCTAAACCTACTTCTCAGATGCTTCTTTCTCTTCCTGTTCCTTACTGATATGTCACCTACAAGTGGGATGAGATGTAACGGAGCCAGCATGATGCTGACTGTTGAAACTTTAGAGCAGTACATTGCCACCCAGCCTGGTGCAGCCTGCAGCTCTTGGCAGGGTTTGAAGAAGACATTGCACATCTGTGAGTGGCTTCAGGGTGAGAACACAGAAACATCTTGTGGCTCGCAGGAGCTGAGACTTCCTGGCACCTTCTCACAGCTTTTTGCTTCCTTTTACAGCCAGCAACCAGGCCTCCCGTGCCTGCACACCAGGTTCCGCCCTACAAGGCGGTGTCTGCCCGCCTCCGGCCCTTCACTTTTTCCCAGAGCACCCCCATCGGGCTGGACCGTGTGGGGCGCCGGCGACAGATGAGAGCATCCAATGGTGAGTCTTAGGGGGGTTTCTTCCATGCCCTGGAACCTCTCATTTGGCTGGTGCCAGGGAACCTGAGGCACTAGGATGAGGAAGGTACTATGGCAGTCTCCTGGGTAACTCTGGGTTTGAGACCTCTGCCTCCCTCCTGGTGTCTCCATACCTTAGTTTCTGCAATGTCATCCCAACATGAACCGACACCCAGGCTAGAGATCTGTGATCCCAGTGTGGCTGGGTGGTATCTTCTGAGGATGCTGGGCCCCTTGGCTGACCCATGTATCCCCATCTCCACTTTCACGCTCAGTGGCATTCTCCCTGCTGGCAGCCTCTATGTCCATACTTCCCCCTTTTTATAGGGACACCAGTCTCACTGGAGTGGAACACACCCTAATGACATCATCTTAACTTGTCATCTATAAAGACTGTATCTCCGTGTAGTTTATAGTTGGGTCTTGGGGCAAGGATGTCATCATCATTTGGAGGCTCCAATTCAACCAAAATGTATCTGTGATTGTACTGATAATTCAGCATGCCTACATGTGTTCAGAGATTAACAAAGACTAGAGAAGATGGAAGAGTCTTACTAGGCTATTAGAAATACAGAGGCTATCCCTACAGCCCCTATAGATATGCAAGCAGCCTATCTCATGATTTCTCTAGTACTTTTTTTGTTTATTAAAAATAATAATAATAACCTTAGGATTCTTTTGTTGTAAAAACAGCAAAACAAACAAGCAGTAAAACCTAACTGGCTAACTTAAGAAAATGAGGGTAGAGGGTTCAGGGCTAGAGATGTGCACAACTTAATTGGTAGAGTGCTTGCCCCACATTCACAAAGCCCTAAGTTCATTCCCCAGCACTGTATAAAACCATCCATGAGGCACATGCCTGTAATCTCAGCACTTGGAAGGTGGAAGCAGGAGGACTAGAAGGTCAAGATCATCCTCAGCCAGATATGGAGTTCGAGGCCATACATTAAACTCTGTCTTAAAAATAAGAAAAAAGGAGAATGTGCTGTAAGGGTGTCAAGTACTCTCAAAATTGATGGGATGGTTAGGGACTAGGTGGAACATGTATGATATCAGGATCACTCCCAGGAGACAAGGAGACACAGGAAGCACCAGGTACCACCAGGGGGCAGGGAAGGCCAGCCTGCCCTCCTGTCACTCTCCTGAGTCAGGCTCCTAGGATGGAGGCTCTACCTCTGTGAGCTCAGGTGGCTGAACACTACATGGGGTGGGAGTCCAGACCACCTTTACTCTGTATTTGTGCAGATGTCTGGGTTCCTTGCTATCAGAGTGAGTGCAGTTGAGGGTGGGTCTCACCTGGCAGGAATCTGTCCCAAACAAGGTGGTCCTACTTACATAGAGTTGTTGTGGTTTCCTTTCTTTCTCTCTGTCAAAAGTCAGTTAACCTACAAAGATATGTGGAGCCTCAACTATTATCCAGGTATAGCTGCTGTCATTTAGGGTACAGCCATGAATAACACATTTAAAAAGCTATACAGATGGCTTCTGTATTCTAGGGCTTCAGATCCTCAGAACCAGCTGACCACAGATTGGAAATATTCAGAAGAATTGCATTGTCACTGAACATGTCCTGGGTACCTCTGCTTAGGTCAGAACCTAGGGCTTCATGCATACTGCATCCTCTAGCCTTTTCCTGTTACTGTTTACTAACTAAACAGCTCTTTATATTGTATTTGCACTGTGCTAGGTATTATAAGCCATTCGGAGGTGATTTCAAGTACACAGGAGGATATATGTAGGTTATATGTCAAAACTGTGCTATTTTATGTAAGGGACTTAAGCATTCACAGAGGAGTTTGATATCCAAAGGACCCTGGGTCCTGTTTCCTCCCATAGAGAGGGAGGACTACAGATTCCAGCATTTGAAGAGATCCTTAAGGCGCCAGTGATGATTGTGGAGAAAATGAGGGTGGGTGGTGTGGTGGAGAAGAGGAGGGGCGGGAGGTGGCATCAAGTAGAGGTGTGAAGGATGAGGAAGAGGTGGTGAGGCTACTGAAGGAGAGAGGTCCCTGCCGAGCGACAGCAGATGCCCAAAGATAGGCAGGAACTTGATTCTACTGAGGAAGCCAGAGTGACTGAGTTCAGGAAACAGACAGAAGAGGGCACTGTGGTCAGAGGAGTGGCTGAACAGGAGGCATCCCAGGGCCTGAGGACTGGGGTATCCTAGTGTAACAGGAAGTCATTGCCAAGAGCATGGTGGGTTCTGGCTTGTACTTCAGAAGGGAAGGAGAGCAATGCATGATGATACACACCTGTAATCCCAGCACTCTAGAGGTTGAGGTAAGATGATTAGAAGTTCACGGTTAGCCTGGACTATACTGTGAGTTCAGGTCATGCTAATAAGCAAAACCCTGTTTAAAAAAAAAAAAATCAAAAAAGAATGAGAGAGAGAAGGAGAAAAGGAAGTGCAGTTTAGGGGAAGGCAAAGGAAACATCCTGCTTAGTATCCACAGAGGTAGTGACCACAGAGGCCACCCCTACTTCCTTTGGTGCTTATTTCCCTGGGGCAAGGGGACGGGACTGAAATGACTGGCCTAGGCTCTGACTCATGGGGCCAAGGCTGTGAACTCCAATGGAAGGACTTCTCCACTTGGGGATGAAATTCAGTTTCGACAGAGCAATTGCTGGATGGGAGGAGAGCATTTTGCAAGTGTGCTGTGGCATAACCAAAGAAGCTTCTGCTATGTTTACTCGTGGTTTCAGGCTGTGGGTTAGCATCCCTCAGTGATATGAGTCACGGGTTCACAGCATGTGCCCTGCAGGGTAGCATGGCAGCACCAGGGCATTGCTTCAAGCTGCCTTGATAGCTGCATTTCCTTAAGGTGGTGTTGGGTGTGAGCTATTCACTGGGCAGTATTAATAAGATGTCTTGGCTGTCCGGGCACCTTCAGTGAGGCCAGTGGAGTAGCAGTGGAGGAAATCTGTGTCTAGCACAAGAAGCTTTTCCAGTGAGGACAAATCATTGTTCCCCTCTTTTATGAAAAGGTTCATTGTAATCAACTTTCCACAAGTAGCTGTCTGGTTCCTACAGAGAACCATATCATCAGTGCTGTGAGAGGCAGGCCTGTGGTCTGGCCGAGACTAGGCATCCTTTCTGTTGTTGTGGCTTGTGGACATTGTGTTTTGTTTTGTTTTGTTTTGTTTTGTTTTGTTTTGTTTTGTTTGTTTTGTTTTGTTTTGTTGTGAGTCCACTGAGACACCCATCAAGGTGAATAAACAAGATTGGCCCACGCCTGCATCGCTGGCACTATGCCAGACAGTTATTATGGTATCTTTTGTGATGAGGATTTACACAAGACAGTTATCTTTTCAAACTTTGTGAATCTTCTGATATGCCCAGTCATCCTCCGGGCCCCAACCAAGGCACAATCTCTTCTGTGCCTTCCACATGTCTCAGCTATTCATCCAAGCTGTTAACTCTCAAACACACATGTCTGCAAGCTGACCCTGTCTGGAGAATTAAGAAGCGCCTCTTCCACAAAGGCTTTCCCTGTCCTGGTGGCATAAGGACCAGGGAAAGGATGGAAGAAGGCCTTTTGACAGGAAGATGACTCATGGTAATGGGATGCCTACCCCAGAGTGTCCTGACTTCTGCTGCTGCACAGACTCAGAGACCCAGTGAGGGCCCTGCATCTCACTGCAACACTGGCTAACACACAGATTTCCTGCTTCATAAGTCAAGTGACACCTCATTAGAGCTGCTCATTAGATTTATTCCTAGAGACCAAAGATCAGTTAGGTACAACAAGAGCCTTCATGGGTCAGAACATACTGAACTATGCCTGCTGACTAGAACAGTAACTGCCCACTGTCTCCATGACAGGAGCCCCACTTGCATTGCAGTCCAGGTCTCCATGGTAACAGAGGTACCCCCCCACCCCTACCCCCAGCCTAGAGAGACCAGTCTGTAGCTTAGAAAAGTTGCCACTATGTTCATTTTCTGGCTTGGAAGGTAGAGCCTGAGGGGTGGTAGGGCTCATGCTGGGCCATCTCCTGACTTTCTGTCAGCCATGTTAGGTTTCCCTTTCTTTCTAGATGCTAAGAGGTGTTTGGTGAACTTATCACCAAAGTTGTGGAATGACCCTCAGCCTGCAAATTAAATACCAGTGGCATCCGAATGAATACAGTTGGTTTAATTCAAGTTATGTTCAGTAGTATAGTGAGTGAACAGTGTTTGGGGTCCTGATACCAACAAACCAGTTAGTAAAGAGATTGTTTTGAGGCTGGGTGTGATGACTAACCCTATAATCCCAGTATTTAGGAAGTGGAGGCAGGAGGATCAGGAACTACAGACTAGCCTGGGCTACATAGGATAGCCTGTCTCAAAAATAAAACATGGCTGGGCATGGTGGGGCACGCCTTTAATCCCAGCACTCAGGAGGCAGAGGCAGGCGGATCTCTGTGAGTTCAAGGCCAGCCTGGTCTACATAGTTCCAGGACAGCTGGGGCTACAGGGAGATCCTGTCTCAAAAAGACCAAAAATAAATAAATAAATAAATGGGAGACCCTGTCTCAAAAAGACCAAAAATAAATAAGTAAACAAACAAACAAAACAAACAAGAACAAATACGAGAGTCAGGTGTCATAACCCACACTCTAATCCCAGCAATGAAGAGACTGAGGCAGGACATTGTTAACTAAAAAGCTAGCCTGGGCTACTCAGTGAAACCTGTCTCAGGAAACCCAAAGCAAATTTTAAAAACATGATTTTGAGAATCAAATGGAATTTTCATAGGGACTGAATACTTGACAGCATGAGTTGTCAGTACTAGCTAGGACACTGATAGTATACATGCCCAAGCTGCTCACTGCTGAATTGCTGGTAATCAGAAAGGTTGACAGGTCTGTTCAAGGCCCAGCCTGCAGGAAGTAATGAAGGCAGAGGAGCTCCTCCCCATCCTTCCTTCTCAGGCTCAGGGGTATGATAGGGTACTGGGGCAGCAGGCTGGGCAGCTCTTATGGGAGGATCTGTGCCTTCTCTAG